CCACATTAACACAGACAGTGTCCATCTCGTCACCACCTAAACAACAACAACAACAACCACAACAACAACAACCACAACAACATTCACTACCACCACATTAACACAGACAGTGTCCATCTCATCACCACCTAAACAACAACAACAACAACCACAACAACAACAACAACCACAACAACAACAACATTCACTACCACCACATTAACACAGACAGTGTCCATCTCATCACCACCTAAACAACAACAACAACAACCACAACAACAACAACAACCACAACAACAACAACATTCACTACCACCACATTAACACAGACAGTGTCCATCTCGTCACCACCTACACAACAACAACAACAACAACCACAACAACAACCACATTAACACAGACAGTGTCCATCTCGTCACCACCTACACAACAACAACAACAACCACAACAACAACCACAACAACAACCACAACAACCACAACAACATTCACTACCACCACATTAACACAGACAGTGTCCATCTCATCACCACCTACACAACAACAACAACAACATTCACTACCACCACATTAACACAGACAGTGTCCGTCTCATCACCACCTACACAACAACAACAACAACCACAACAACAACCACAACAACAACATTCACTACCACCACATTAACACAGACAGTGTCCATCTCATCACCACCTACACAACAACAACAACAACAACAACATTCACTACCACCACATTAACACAGACAGTGTCCATCTCATCACCACCTAAACAACAACAACAACAACATTCACTACCACCACATTAACACACACAGTGTCCATCTCATCACCACCTAAACAACAACAACAACAACAACATTCACTACCACCACATTAACACAGACAGTGTCCGTCTCATCACCACCTACACAACAACAACAACAACAACATTCACTACCACCACATTAACACAGAGAGTGTCCATCTCATCACCACCTACACAACCACAACAACAACCACAACAACCACATTCACTACCACCACATTAACACAGACAGTGTCCATCTCATCACCACCTACACAACCACAACAACAACCACAACAACCACATTCACTACCACCACATTAACACAGACAGTGTCCATCTCGTCACCACCTACACAACCACAACAACAACAACAACCACAACAACAACCACAACAACCACAACAACAACAACAACCACAACAACAACATTCACTACCACCACATTAACACAGACAGTGTCCATCTCATCACCACCTAAACAACAACAACAACATTCACTACCACAACAACAACAACAACATTCACTACCACCACATTAACACAGACAGTGTCCATCTCATCACCACCTAAACAACAACAACCACAACAACCACAACAACAACAACAACAACATTCACTACCACCACATTAACACAGACAGTGTCCATCTCATCACCACCTAAACAACAACAACAACAACAACAACCACAACAACAACAACAACCACAACAACAACATTAACACAGTGTCCATCTCGTCACCACCTAAACAACAACAACAACAACCACAACAACAACAACCACAACAACATTCACTACCACCACATTAACACAGACAGTGTCCATCTCATCACCACCTAAACAACAACAACAACAACCACAACAACAACAACAACCACAACAACAACAACATTCACTACCACCACATTAACACAGACAGTGTCCATCTCATCACCACCTAAACAACAACAACAACCACAACAACAACAACAACCACAACAACATTCACTACCACCACATTAACACAGACAGTGTCCATCTCATCACCACCTAAACAACAACAACAACCACAACAACAACAACAACCACAACAACAACAACATTCACTACCACCACATTAACACAGACAGTGTCCATCTCGTCACCACCTACACAACAACAACAACAACATTCACTACCACCACATTAACACAGACAGTGTCCATCTCATCACCACCTAAACAACAACAACAACAACCACAACAACAACAACAACCACAACAACAACAACATTCACTACCACCACATTAACACAGACAGTGTCCATCTCGTCACCACCTACACAACAACAACAACAACCACAACAACAACCACAACAACAACCACAACAACCACAACAACATTCACTACCACCACATTAACACAGACAGTGTCCATCTCGTCACCACCTAAACAACAACAACAACAACCACAACAACAACAACAACCACAACAACAACAACATTCACTACCACCACATTAACACAGACAGTGTCCATCTCATCACCACCTAAACAACAACAACAACAACCACAACAACAACAACAACCACAACAACAACAACATTCACTACCACCACATTAACACAGACAGTGTCCATCTCGTCACCACCTAAACAACAACAACAACAACAACCACCACATTAACACAGAGAGTGTCCATCTCGTCACCACCTAAACAACAACAACAACAACCACAACAACAACAACAACCACAACAACAACAACATTCACTACCACCACATTAACACAGACAGTGTCCATCTCATCACCACCTAAACAACAACAACAACAACCACAACAACAACAACAACCACAACAACAACAACATTCACTACCACCACATTAACACAGACAGTGTCCATCTCATCACCACCTAAACAACAACAACAACAACCACAACAACAACAACAACCACAACAACAACAACATTCACTACCACCACATTAACACAGACAGTGTCCATCTCGTCACCACCTAAACAACAACAACAACAACAACCACCACATTAACACAGAGAGTGTCCATCTCGTCACCACCTAAACAACAACAACAACAACCACAACAACAACAACAACCACAACAACAACAACATTCACTACCACCACATTAACACAGAGAGTGTCCATCTCGTCACCACCTAAACAACAACAACAACAACAACAACAACCACAACAACATTCACTACCACCACATTAACACAGACAGTGTCCATCTCGTCACCACCTACACAACAACAACAAACACAACAACAACATTCACTACCACCACATTAACACAGACAGTGTCCATCTCATCACCACCTAAACAACAACAACAACAACAACCACAACAACAACCACAACAACATTCACTACCACCACATTAACACAGACAGTGTCCATCTCGTCACCACCTAAACAACAACAACAACCACAACAACAACATTCACTACCACCACATTAACACAGAGAGTGTCCTTGTCACCACCTAAACAACAACAACAAACACAACAACAACAACATTCACTACCACCACATTAACACAGACAGTGTCCATCTCGTCACCACCTAAACAACAACAACAACAACAACAACCACAACAACAACATTCACTACCACCACATTAACACAGACAGTGTCCATCTCGTCACCACCTAAACAACAACAACCACAACAACAACCACAACAACAACATTCACTACCACCACATTAACACAGACAGTGTCCATCTCATCACCACCTACACAACAACAACAACCACAACAACCACATTCACTACCACCACATTAACACAGACAGTGTCCATCTCGTCACCACCTAAACAACAACAACAACAACAACAACCACAACAACAACATTCACTACCACCACATTAACACAGACAGTGTCCATCTCGTCACCACCTAAACAACAACAACCACAACAACAACCACAACAACAACATTCACTACCACCACATTAACACAGACAGTGTCCATCTCGTCACCACCTACACAACAACAACAACCACAACAACCACATTCACTACCACCACATTAACACAGACAGTGTCCATCTCGTCACCACCTAAACAACAACTACAACCACAACAACATTCACTACCACCACATTAACACAGTGTCCATCTCGTCACCACCTAAACAACAACAACAACCACAACAACATTCACTACCACCACATTAACACAGACAATGTCCATCTCGTCACCACCTACACAACAACAACCACAACAACAACTACCACCACCACATTAACACAGACAGTGTCCTTGTCACCACCTACACAACCACAACCACTAACACTGATACACTCACTCCCCGCGTCTCCCCGCGTCTCCTCGCGTCTCTCCGCGTCTCACTGTCTCTCCCCGTGTCTCCCCGTGTCTCTCCCCGTGTCTCTCCCCGTGTCTCCCCGTGTCTCCCCGAGTCTCCCCGTGTCTCCCCATGTCTCCCCGAGTCTCCCCGTGTCTCCCCGTGTCTCCCCGAGTCTCCCCGTGTCTCCCCGTGTCTCCCCGAGTCTCCCCGTGTCTCCCCGCGTCTCCACGTGTCTCCCCGCATCACCCCGTGTCTCCCCGAGTCTCCCCGCGTCTCCCCGTGTCTCCCCGTGTCTCCCCGCGTCTCCCCTAGTCTCCCCGCGTCTCACTGTGTCTCCGCGCGTCTCCCAGCGTCTCCCAGCGTCTCCCCGTGTCTCCCCGAGTCTCCCCGTGTCTCCCCGTGTCTCCCCGAGTCTCCCCGTGTCTCCCCGTGTCTCCCCGTGTCTCCCAGCGTCTCCCCGCGTCTCCCCGCGTCTCCCAGCGTCTCCCTGTGTCTCCGTGTCTCCCAGCGTCTCCCCGTGTCTCCCCGTGTCTCCCCGAGTCTCCCCGTGTCTCCCAGCGTCTCCCCGCGTCTCCCCGCGTCTCCCAGCGTCTCCCCGTGTCTCCGTGTCTCCCAGCGTCTCCCCGCGTCTCCCCGCGTCTCCCCGTGTCTCCCCGTGTCTCCCCGTGTCTCCCCGTGTCTCCCCGCGTCCCCCCGTGTCTCCCCGTGTCTCCCCGTGTCTCCCCGCGTCTCCCCGCGTCCCCCCGTGTCTCCGTGTCTCCCAGCGTCTCCCCGTGTCTCCCAGCGTCTCCCCGTGTCCCCCCGTGTCTCCCCGTGTCTCCCCGCGTCCCCCCGTGTCTCCGTGTCTCCCAGCGTCTCCCCGTGTCTCCCAGCGTCTCCCCGTGTCCCCCCGTGTCTCCCCGTGTCTCCCCGTGTCTCCCCGTGTCTCCCCGTGTCTCGCTCACAAGGAGTTATTTCCTCCCATTCGGCTCGGCAGGAGCTGCAGGCTGCACAGTTGAAGGTGGAGCAGTCAAAGAGCAGCAGGCAGTGTCGGTAGGAGCCCTGGGGGCACCCACACAGAGTGTCCTGGGTCGGGGTGCACACCTGTAGCGTCACGTGGCCCATAGCTGTGGTGACACACACACACAGACACACACACAGACACATAGACACACACACATAGACACATAGAGACACCCACACATACACACACACAGACACACACAGACACACACACATAGACACACACACAGAGTGTCCTGGGTCGGGGTGCACACCTGAAGCGTCACGTGGCCCATGGCTGTGGTGACACACACACATAGACACACACATAGACACACACACACATAGACACACACATAGACACACACACACAGACACACACATAGACACACACACATAGACACACACACACATAGACACACACACATAGACATACACACACATAGACACACACACATAGACACACACACACATAGACACACACACATAGACACACATAGACACACACATAGACACACACACACATAGACACACACACACATAGACACACACACACACATAGACACACACATAGACACACACACACACAGACACACACACAGACACACACACAAACACACACACAGACACACACACATAGACACACACACACACAGACACACAGACACACACATAGACACACACATAGACACACACACATAGACACACACACATAGACACACACATAGACACACACATAGACACACACACACACACAGACACACCCACATAGACACACACACATAGACACACACATAGACACATAGACACACACATAGACACACACATAGACACACACACAGACACACACACAGACACACACACACACACACACACATAGACACACACATAGACACACACATAGACACAGACACACACACAGACACACACATAGACACAGACACACACACACACACATAGACACACACATACACACACACAGACACATAGACACACACATAGACACACACACACACATAGACACACACACATAGACACACACACACATAGACACACAGACACACACACACATAGACACACACACACACATAGACACACACACATAGACACACACACAGACACATAGACACACACATAGACACACACATAGACACACACACAGACACACACACACACACATAGACACACACATAGACACACACATAGACACAGACACACACACAGACACACACATAGACACACACACACACACATAGACACACACATAGACACACACATAGACACACACATACACACACACAGACACATAGACACACACATAGACACACACACACACATAGACACAGACACACACATAGACACACACACATAGACACACACACACATAGACACACAGACACACACACACATAGACACACACACACACATAGACACACACACAGACACAGACACACACAAAGACACACACACACACATAGACACACACACACACACATAGACACACACACACACACATAGACACACACACATAGACACACACATAGACACACACACATAGACACACACACACATAGACACACACACACATAGACACACACACATAGACACACACACACATAGACACACACACATAGACACACACACACAGACACACACACATAGACACACACACACACAGACACACACACATAGACACACACACATAGACACACACACAGACACACACACAGACATACACACACAGACACACACACATAGACACACACACACACACATAGACACACACACATAGACACACACACATAGACACACACACAGACACACACAGACACACACACAGACATACACACACAGACATACACACACAGACACACACACATAGACACACACACATAGACACACACACACACACATAGACACACACACAGACACACACACAGACACACACACATAGACACACACACACACATAGACACAGACACACAGACACACACACACACATAGACACACACATACACATAGACACATAGACACACACATAGACACACACATAGACACACACATAGACACACACATAGACACACACACACACATAGACACACACATAGACACACACATAGATACACACACACACACATAGACACACACATACACATAGACACATAGATACACACACACACACATAGACACACACATAGACACACACACACACAGATAGACACACACATAGACACACACATAGACACACACACACATAGACACACACACAGACACAGACACACACATAGACACACACACACATAGACACAGACACACACACACATAGACACACACACACACATAGACACACACACACACATAGACACACACACACACATAGACACACACACATAGACACACACACACATAGACACACACACACACACATAGACACACACACACATAGACACACACACACATAGACACACACACACATAGACACACACACACACACACAGACACACACACATAGACACACAGACACATAGACACACACACACACATAGACACACACATACACAAAGACACACACACACACACACAGACACACACACAGACACACACACACACAGACACACACACAGACACACACACAAACACACACACATAGACACACACACACAGACACACACACAGACACACACACACACACAGACACACACACACACAGACACACACACACACAGACATAGACACACACACAGACATAGACACACACACACAGACATAGACACACACACACACAGACATAGACACACACACACATAGACACACATAGACACACACACACATAGACACACATACACACACACAGACACACACACACACAGACACACATACACACAGACACACACATAGACACACACACACATAGACACACACACATAGACACACACACACAGACACACACATAGACACACACACACAGAGACACACACACACAGAGACACACACACACAGACACACACATAGACACACACACACATAGACACACACACACAGAGACACACACACACAGAGACACAGACACACAGACACATAGACACACACACACAGACACACACATAGACACACACACACAGAGACACACACACAGACACACACATAGACACACACACACACACATAGACACACACACACACAGAGACACACACACACAGACACACACATAGACACACACACACAGACACACACACACATAGACACACACACATAGACACACACACACACACATAGACACACACACAGACACACACACACAGACACACACACAGACACATACACACACAGACACATAGACACACACACATAGACACACACACACACATAGACACACACACACACATAGACACACACACATAGACACACACACACACACACATAGACACACACACACACATAGACACACAGACACACAGACACACACACACACAGACACACACACAGACACACAACAACAACAACCGCCATTCGCCACTAAGTGGCGGTGACGTCACCACGACGCTTGTGCCAGGCTATGTGCACCCTGAGGCCACGTGAAGTGTCGAACGCCCGCTGGCAGGAGGTCACGGGGCAGACCCAGGTGCCACGGGTCGACTGACTGAGATGACTGGCTGATGCACCACCTGTGCCCCCTACTGTGCCAACCTGCTGTGCTTTAGCCACCCGGCGCTCCGCTCGCTGTTGTGAGCGTCGCTCCTCCGCCCTCCGTTGTTGTTGGAGGGCGACTGCCTCCAACTGCCCAGTGGCATCCTTCACGAGCCTCCTCCACAGAGGCCGATCTTGACACCGCTGGCACCAGTCATCGGCAAGTCCACTCAGCTCCACGTCCTCCTGTACCACATCACTCCATCTCTTCTCTAGCCCGTGCCGCGCCCGCTTAGCCCCCTCAATCCGGCCAAACAAAAGCTGTTTCGGCATGCGGTGGCTGGGCATGCGGGCTACATGACCCAGCCATCGCAGCCTTGCCTACCGGAGGAGCTCACCGATGGGACCCTGCCCAGATATTTCAAGGATTTGTGAGCTCCTCACACAATCCAGTCTGGTTAAACCCAGGATGGATCGTAGGCAGGCCAGCCTAAAAGTTTCTAACCGGCGAAGATGTTCCATTAGGGGGTCCACGTTTCGCAAGCGTAGAGAAGGGAGGGAATGACCGTGGCCGAGAAGACCTGAAACTTAGTGCGGAGCGACAGACCAGGTAGCTTCCACACAGCGTTACGCAACCGATGAAAAGATATTGCCGCTCGACTGATTCGGAGTGAGACCTCTGCTGTTAAACTGGAGCTGGTCATAAGCACACTGCCCAGGTATGGGAAACTCTCCACTCGCTCCACAACTGCCCCATTACCGATTGGGAGTTGTGGGGGTGGAGTGTCCGATGGTACAAAATAGCCAGGCAGGTGATTAATTTTGGTAAGTGCTGTCAGTAGCACCTACGCAGACAAAGATCCCCCAAGTAGCCTCTAGCAGGCTGTAGGGGCAAGTGCTGTTAGTAGCGCCTACACACAAAATAGCCAGGCAGGTGCTTAGTGGCACGCTCCAGTCTCAGCAACAGCGTCTCCAACTCCTCCTCTGAATGAGCAGCTATTACCAAATCATCAGCATACATAACGTGGTTGAACAAAAGGGAGCCATTCCTTGACCGCACCCGGGCATCGATCAGCCTCCCATTATATCTGTACCATATGGAAATTCCCCCGGTACAGCTATTGAAGGCTTCACGAACTACGTGGTCAAAATAGATGTTAAATGTGGGAGCCAGAGGACATCCCTGTCACACCCCAAGGTGTACAGGGAATGGCTCTGACTCCCGGCCATGTAGTTTTACCCGGGCCTGCTCACCATCATGAAGGTCCTTAATGATCGTGAGCAAAGGGTCAGGTACTCCAAAAGCACAAAGAACAACCCAGAGCCCAGGCCTACT